AAGAACCTCAGTGAAGTAGTCTTTTGTTTGAGGATATCTTCATTTTATAAGATACTTGATCACTCTGAGCATCATAGTTTGTTTGTTTTTCAAAGTACACTCAAGTACACTTCTGGCGGGGGGGGGGGGGGGGGGGGCACCACAGTGGTGATCACACCATGTGGATCACCTCCCAGGTCCCAGGGCCGGGGATCCAACTTGCACTGAGGCGGCTGCAGCTAGCTTCTAGCTTACAATGCTGTGTCCTAACCCATTGCTCCACCAGGGAGAGCTGAGCCTCATAGTTTTTTAAATGCTGCTTACAGATACAAATAATCTCAGATATGGCTGTCGGAATCTGCAGCATGGCAATGCATGATCAGAGTCATAGTGAAATGCTTTTATTATGATGGGTAAATAAAAAACACTTCAAGTCCCAGGCCCAAATACATCTCAATAAGTCTAGTCGTAATTGGATTTCCTTAGTCACCCTCTCTTGCTCATTGATCTACAATAAAATACTGGAAATATTAATAAAAAATATGCTAATGGCAAACACATTTCACTTTTTGGAGACAAAAGAGGCATAAAGTTGTAAGTCATCACCAACTTTTTCTTCCATTCTTAAAGTTGCTAACAACTTCAAAGTCCTTTCAAGTTCTTTTTAAACAACTTTCAAGTTCTTTTAAAAAACAACTTACAACCTGTGAATTTATAGGCAATCATCTGAGCTTCAACATGTATGCCAACACAAAGGAAAAATATTAGAAAGTTTCTTTCTTGAGAAACAAATTAACTTCCCAAGTAATTAATATACATTTATACCTATTAGCAAACCATATAAATCTAATTTGCTGCAAACCATATAAATCTAATGTCTGCAAAGTAGTTACTATACATTTGATATGAAAATGATCTAGGGCAACTGCAGGGAAAAAGCCTAACAAAATTTTCTCCTCAGCTCAACTGATTCTGTTCAAATTAAATGTGCATAGCAAAGGTGCCAGGCTATTACACAAAGCATCGTTTTCTAAAAGAAAACTGTTTCTGCTAAGTTTATTAAAAGCAAGTTAAATGGAAAGGCTACAACCACACAAAATTCTGTGATCTGAGATCACAAATTAACTATTTAAAATGTCTTCAAACACCACACTAAAGCTGTCTGACAAAACACTCAACGAGTATTTATTTCCAAAACAGTGTTGCACAATAAAGTATAAAGCCCCTGGACTTCAAATAAAATGTGCTAATTCTCAAATTTGGCAAGAAATAAAAAAAACAATCTAGAACAGAGATTGTGTCCAAGTAACAAGCATAAGTTCACGTCCACGTAACCTGGCTATGTGTGCAGATTTTATTCTTCTCGCAGGTCCCACATTAAAAGTGAAACCGGATCATCCTATTTCCAGTCAACCGATCCTAATTAGATAAAAAGTGCAACCAATGCGCATCATCGAAACTCTAACTAGGGTAAAGAAAAACCTATAGAAAGATCGAGTCCTTTCTCCAGAGTTCTGGCAACTGCTGGTTCTCAACCTACTTAGGGGTCAGGCTTGGTCCAAATTCACGTGCCGATATTTCCCCACCTCCTTGGGCATTAGGGCACACGCATCTCAAAGCTCCACAAGGCAAGCTGCAAGCAGCTAGAGCGAGCCCTGGGCCAACGCGAGGCAAGCGGTACCTCGCCAGCAGCCAAGGTGGGAGGACTCCAAGCACCTGCAAGTAAGGTCGAGGGCTGGTGTGAGACATAGGAAAGTGAGTCAGGGAAGGAATAGCAGCTCAAGGTGACCGGACCACAGAGCAGCCTCGCACCCCAGACCTCCCACGGTCCAAAAGACCTCCCCACCTCACCCCAGGGGTACCTGTCACCCGCCGCGCAGTCGCGGCACACGCTCCGCTCGCGTCCCCTTTCCCGCCCGGGCCCAGGCTGCAGCTCCTCCGCTCCGGCGCCCGCGACAACCCCGAGGCTGGGCGGGGCGGCGGCGGCGGCGGCGGTGGCGGCAACGGCTACGCCAGTGAGCGACAGACACGCGCCTTTGCCGCGGCTCCGCTCACCAGCTGGCCTGCGAAAGCAAAAGCCCAAGCGCCGGCCGTTCCTCTACTTCCGCTTCCTAGTGGCGAGGGTCGGAGGACTTCCGTCTACCGAGTCGGGGCCCGATCGGCCTAGAGTGACTCCCGGACGCCATCTTGTATTCGCGGAGGCCCCTTTTCTCCTTAGCCGCCCATGTTTGGGTGTGTGAGGGCCGCCTCCGGTTTTGGGGCAGGAGTGCCGGTGTGTAGGGCAGGAAACTTTACCAGGTGGTGACGCCAGAGAGGGGTAGCATATTTTTTCCCCCTATTTGGCCTCTGGGACATTTCAGAATCTGATTCCTTCAGTACTTCTTTATAAAGTCGTGTTGCACAATGAGGGGCCAAATGACTGTTGCTGAGCTTGTTCGACTTTTTCTTAAACCCTAAACTAAGGTAGCATTCGCTCCTGGGCCACCCGGAGCGAAAGGGTTTTTTATTTTATAACCCCATTTGGCTTATTTTAGACTGGCAGTAGCAATTTAGCCTGCAGGGATTATGAATTCTCTGGGATTTGTCAAATCACTGCTTCAAATTGGTTGACAATCTGTGACACTGGGGCGATCGTTTTACTCACGCAGAAATGAATACCTTTTTTGAGGGTGTACTTTTAACTATTAAACAGAAGTGAAAAATATACTTTGAAAAGTACATTAAAGTGTAAAACTGAATGGATTATATAACACAAGCCAGCCTTCCCCCTGAAAATGCCAGAACAAGTGTTATAGGACAAAATCTGTTATAGGACAGCAAATCTGTTCCAGGACAGGGGGAGAGGGACACCCCTGAAGCCCCAAAACCTGACTGCTCTAAGTGGATTCTGCCATCCGCCGCAAGAAGACAGAACATATAAAACTTTAATGAAAAGGAACTTTAATACAGTAAATATATATATGGAACACAAAGAATATAACTTCTAAATCAAACACCTGAAGTTCCCCATCCCCTCGTGGGCAAAAGTCAATCCAAAAGGGATTGGCCCAAAACAAGGCCTGAAAGCCTGCCACAAGACTAAAGCACCTTCTGGCCGGGACGGGACCCATGGAAAAGGGTCAGAAATGGCCAGACAAATCTGGGAGGAAAAGAGCAAAATCAAAATCAATATAAACACTGCCATAGTCACCTCCCTACAGGTATCTCACCCACATCTGCCTTAACCGATCCAGGGTCAGGAAACAAGCACAGTTTCTTCATCACATGCTTGCTGCTCCATGTGGCTTCCTCAGGTCTCTTCCTACTCCATCCTTCTTCATTCTCTTCTTCTCTCTTCTTTTTCTCCGCTCAGCTCCACCCTCCTTCTGGGTGGGGCAGGGAATCTGGAACTTCCCTTTTTCCTAGGGAGCACCCTGTTACACAAGGACTAAAAGTTCTTAAATATAAAAGGGCTGCATAGGTTTGAACTGTGCTTAACAACTTCTGGAGCTGACTATTGAACTTGCTATTCCTTATTGAAAGAAAAGGAGTTAAAATTTTAAGGCATTTTAAGATTTATTTCTTAGGGGGGGCTTGTACTACCTTTTCATTGTGTTTTCTATTCCTTTTAATCGTGTCAAGGGATGCATTCATAAAAAGAAATTAGTTTTAATTCACCACATCACCGCTGTTTTTTGTTTGTTTTTACATGAACACCAAGGTTTGCTTGGTTACAACTTACAACTGATAGTGCACAGCTTACAAGAAAAGTTGCCTTTCTCACTAAACCTTTCAATGAAAATGCAGTGGTGTTCATCTTAACAGAATAGCTTTTGAATGTTTTTAATTTTCTATCTTTAACACAAAGCATCAAGGGAAACTAAACTGGCCCAAGACACTGCTGAAATAGTTTACTGGTCTGAGTTCTTCATCTGCACACACAATTGCAAGACTACTCAGGCTTAGAAACAACAACAAAGGAAATTGTTGGGGGGGGGGCGCAGACAAAGAGTTGCTGAGGGCAGAAGAGGCCTTTACCTTGGCCACTTTACCTGTGGCCAGTATTAGCAAAAAAAGCAGTTAAAATGGCATTTCCTTGCCCCTGAGGACAGCAAAGCTCCTCTCCCAAACAATGGGTCACATGTCTAAGATGGCATCTTGCTGCCACTACAGACTCGACAGCCAGGCTATAAGCCAGGTTCCAACTCAGAAAGACATAAGATGCAATAGGAGATACTCCATGAGCTGTTGGGATGCCCCAGCATAGCCAAGACAAGCAAGCTCAAAACAGCAGCAGTTGAATGACCAGACAAGCAACCACATGTAAGCCTCTCAACAAGATGTCTGTCTTGTAGGTCTTTGCTTTTTCCACCTGGCCATAGCTCAGTAAAGACACCTGGCTTCTGGGTCTCCATCTTTTTTCGCCAGGCCACAACAATAGCAAAGCCACAAACCGTTTCAGTTTCTCATCTACTTGCAAAGCCCCAACAACTGGT